ATAGACTCTCCGGCCTGACACACCCGCACTGCGCGAACCCCGACACACGCAATCATTTTTTCCCTTTCTTTTAGCCCCCTCTACCCCTACATGTACGAAACAGCCTACATGCTCACAAGTGAACAATCGCGAGGGCGGCTGTCACCACCTTCCCTCCCACATCTACAAGGAATAGACACCTCTCTCGCACACCCTGTGCCTGTCATAGCCATTCAAATCTCCACCACTACCCCCTTGGCTCTCCCAAATCACGCCCACGGAACTAAAAGTCACACAGTGCTCCCCATACACCCAGAACAAACCCGCCTCTCACACACAATTACGCTCATTTATTACTCAAACTAACACTTCCCACCCCAGCCTCTCAGACTCAGAAATTTATACCAGGACCAAAGTCACTTAGTGACCCTGGCACACACCAACAACACATTTTTCTTACAAATTCATCTTTCCACAGCCATTCAAAGCTGTTTCTCTTTGGTACACTCCTGACTCATAGCACCTTCCCAGCACAACATCCAGCGGAACCTGTAGATACCTTATACTACAGGAATCACTGCACAACTCTTACACACTCAAAAATACATACACATAAGGACCATACTCTCATTCACCAACACGTATGCCCTTAGAAAACATATACATCTTTTCCTGTGCACAGATATAACCCAGGCCAGCAGTTTCACGTTGGCACATCCCTCTTACACAATCACCTGCCCAGAAATACACCTCACCGACACATACAAACACCCCCTCAAGGCCAGCAGAGGTTGTCCCCCTCTAGAGATGAGGAAAGCAATTGGATCCAGAGCAGTTGTCAGTGGTGGCACAGTCAGCACACATGCTTGGGAATCAGCAGCTTGGGGACAGCCTCTGATAGTCCCTGCAGGGCTGACAAAAGGAGGCCAGGAAGCTGGGGAGTATGGTCCTCTCCCTCCCAAATCCTGCCACCCTGATGCCCATATCAGCTGCCCGCTATTTCTGTTAGCGCTCCTCTCTGCGAAGCCACATCCTGTGTCACTTCACTTTCACCCTCTCTGGGGTTCTGGCAGCCTGTTCTCCAGCCTTAGCCAGCCACGTATAGCCAATGCTGGAAGTTGTGACATGTGGGCAAGCCTGCCGTTTCGAGAAATAGCCAGTGTCCATAAGCTCAGAACCTTCTCTCAGCTTCCTTCAGGTTTCCTCTGGGCCTGGAGAAAGTCTGACCAGGGGGGTGGGCACCAGCCCTCCCATCAGCCTCGAGTGCCCAGGTGGCAGTGAAATCCACAAGTGGGCCTGACAGTCTTCCTGGGGTGCACGGATCCTTTTGGGAAAGTTTCCCAACAGTTCTGACACCAGGTTCTGAGGGAGGAGACCAGAGGCAGCTAAAGACCCCACTGGGTCCAACACCAGACTTCCATGGGGGCTCCTCTTCCCAGATCTCCCTGCTATTAGCTCCGTCAACTCAGCAAGTCCAGCACCCCACATTGCCCCCCAGCACTTCAAACATCAGAGACCCTCTCACCCTGCCAGAAACCTCTTTGCCCTTTTCTGAGCCTCTGAAGAGCCACTGGACACAGGGAGGGGGTGACCCCACTTCTCCTACCCTCTCCATGCCAGATAAAAGACTCATAGATGGCAAGAGGTCCCTTGCCCAATCCCGGGCCACCCAAGTACCTACTGTGCCTGGGAGGCCTCAGCTGGGATCTGTGGCACATCCCAGGAACGGTAGCGCCACATCTGCCTCAGTGCCCCCGGCCGCTCCCCTTCTTCTGTCTCCAGAGCCTCCGCGGGGCCCAGAGCTGCAGCCTCATCGCAGCCTCCCCCGGCACTGTGGCCAGCCCCCAGTGCGCTCATCCTGCCCAGCGACTCTCTTCCTCTTTCGGCACTTCCTGACCAGGGGGCCCTGCGAGAGGCCGGCTGGCTGCCCCCGGAGAGGACCACAGGGCTGGTAGGCGCCTTCCGCTGGCCGGGGCAGGAGGCTGGCTGGGAAGAGGAGCTGCCAGGAGGGCGAGAGGCAGGTGAGAACAAGCCCAGCCCAGCAGCCAGGAGATGATACCAAGTAAGAGACGGCTAGGCAGCCAGCAGGCCTGCCCAGGCTGGAATCCGAACCTCAACCTTGGCTCCCGTCTGGCCTTCCTCTCCACCTAACCACTCTGATCTTCACCTCTCCATCCTGTTGAGGTTTCCTACTTCATCCCAACCACCCGGGGCATTGGCGGGCAGCGCCCCGCCCACACACAGCTCTCTCTCCCCTCACCACACTATCTAACACAGGCTCAGGCACGTGGATAGTGGTGGACTGGAAAGAGTATCAGGATGGAGCTAGAAAATGTGGGCTACCATACTGTTTCTGCCACTTACCAGTTGTCCATCCTGGATCAGGTCAGAGAGATTTACCTCTCCAGATTACCTGAAATCCTTTTTGGAATAAGGTAGGCTATAAAGAGATAAACTGATGAATACATGTGTCAGGGAGATTTCTGGAGCCTCAGTCTTCTCATTTGTCATATGGAAGGGGGCAATAGGAATAAATGAGCTCATGGAGTTTTATAAGGATTGAATAAGAGGTGAAAGGGTTTATAAATTAATTCAGTCAATAAATATTTACTGAGTGCCTTCTTCTTTTTTTCTAATTGAGGTACTGGGGATTGAACCCAGGACCTTGTGCATGCCAAGCATGCGCTCTACCAATGAACTCTACCCCACCAACCTCACTGAGTATCTTCTATGCATCAGGCACTGTATCAGACTATATAGGTGTATGAAAGGAGCCAGGGCTCTAACCTCATATTGCTTAGTGGGGAAGACAGTTAGGAAACAAATAATCAATATATGAAATAATGTCAGGTAATGAGATGAGATGGGCTATAGAGAAAAGTGAATCCAACCACAAGGGGGAAGAGAATGATGATGGCAGTGCTACTTAAGGAGGGGGCTTGGAGAAAGCCTCTCTGAGGAGGTAATGTTTAAGAACAGACCTGAGTGGATCAAGAGAGCAAACTACGTGAGTATCTGGGAGAACAGCAGTTGAAGTGGAAGGAACAGAAAGAGCAAAGCCCTCTGAGTAGGAATGTACTTGATGTGTCTCAGGAATATCGAAAAAGGCCACACTGGGCTGAACTTGGAGGCCATCGTGAGGATTTGGTACATACACAGTAAGGTAGACACTTTTTATTGTTAGGATTGGTTCTGGGATGGAAATTGTACCTTCCTCAAGCACTCTTCAATCACACTGCTCTATAATTACTTCTTTAGCACTCTACGTGTTTGTTACCCTAGAAAGGCTGTAAATTTCTTGAGGACAGAAAAGGTGTCAGTTAAGTTCAGTTCAATAAACATTTCCACGACAGAACCTGCAGACCCTGAGATGTACACAATGCCATCCCAGCCCTTAGAAACCTCCATCTGGTACTTTGTGTCCCTTGTGGCTGAAACATAATATTTCTCAGTAAACATTTGCTTAATAAATCGTGCTATGTTATGAATAATTAATACTTAGTAACAGTGAAACAACAGCTAATATTTCTTGGACATTTCTGTGCCAGGAACCTTCATGAATCCTTGTCACACCTCTGTGAGGTAGATCTTGTTATTTTCCTCCTTTTACAAATGGGGAAACCGAGGCACAGAGCGGCCAAGTTCATTTGTCCAAGGTCACCCAGCCTATAAGTGGGGAAGTAAGAATTTCACCCCAGAGTCTGTGCCCCTAAATAAGACATCCCATTGCCATTCTAGGATTGGGGATATAGCCAGGTGATGCCACTGAGGCTTGACATCCCCTTTCCCAGGGGCTCTCCCTCCAGTCCATCATCAAGGCAGATCCTGTATGCTGTGGCCTAGCAGAGACTCTGCCAGCCAGGCCAAGGCTCTTCTAGAAGGAGGCTGTTGCAGGGCCCTGTCCTCCTCTCCCAGGGATTCTGCAAGAAGCTTGAACAGTTAAACAGAGGAAATGGGGCTGGGCTTGTTTTTGAGCTGAGGCTTCTGGCAGCTCTGGAGCAGCTGAGAGCAGGAAATGTGGCTCCTGGAGGGGAAGCCAGGCAGGCTGGAGGCTCTGAGAGGCAGAGCAGTCCTGACTGTGGGACCATGATCCCCTTGGGCTTGTACTCATGGAAGCTGTCAGTACTTGGCAGGTGGGATGGGGAGGTCAAGGCCAGAAGGGACAGGTGCACAGGGCTGGGGAGGATGTCCTTGGCAGTTCCTAGGACAACATGTACCAGCATTGGGGAGTTGGGGACCCCTCAGAATCCAACCAGATACGAACAGGAAGAGGAATCTGGGTAAGAAAATTATTCTGGGCTTTGTTGATGCCCCAGAGGGTGAGGTGTTCTACTTTCTGTGGCCTGGATGAGAAGTGGGAGCTGGGGAAAAGAAATGTACCAGGGCACCACTCAACCCATGATCTGGACAGCCTCTGCTCTCAAAACCAGCTAAGCCAACCTCCTTGACCTGACCTTCAAGGCTCTTTACGCTCTGTTCTTTTCTTTTCTGCCTCTTTGTCTAAGCTTTCCCCGCAGAGATTTCCTCTCAGCTCACACCATGCTGGTGCCTGCCTCACAGTAAGTACTCAATAAACATTTCTTCCCTCTTTTTTCACACTTCCTTTAACATGCTGCCCTTCTGCTTATGCTGCTCTCCTTGCCCTATCTGCCCATAAAGTTTGGCCAATCAACATCTCCATCCATCAAAACCTCAGCCCAAAAGGCAAAAGTGAGAAGGTGGAAAGAGTTGGTTCAAACTCCAGCCCTTGCTGTATGATGCTAGGGAAGTTACTTAACATCTCTGGGTTGCATCAGATGATTTCTAAGATCATGTCCAGCTCAGGCTGTTTCATTTGAATCTCCTTCCCTGATCTCTAAGTTTTCACTTATTCATTCATTCATATTATACATATTTTATAAATATCTACTAAGTGTCAAATGCTGCTCCAGAGACATTCCCACCCCATTTATGTATCTCTGACACTCACCTTTCTTCCCCTAAATATTCCTCTCTCATGTGATCTTTTGTGCATATTAGTTTTGTCTCCTTATGAGATTCTTGGACCCAGTGTTGCTCCTAGCTCCGTGCTGGGTGCACAGTATGTGTGCAGTAACTTCCTTTGGAAGTTGAAATGAGCTGAATATAGGTGTCCAATAAGCTGAGCAGAGGGAGGGAAACTGGCTTCCTGTCTGCATAAGTGGTTGTGGTGAGACTTGGGAGGGGTTTGGAGCCCATGTCCCTTACCAGCAGCTAAGCCTATGATCCAGGTACCTGCTGAACCCTTGGGAGCAACCTAAAGCCCAAGACTATCTGCTGAGCTTGGCCCCCTGCCCAGGTGCTGGGCTTCTGCCCCCACAGGGAGACAGATGCACCTGAGCTGGGCTGCAGGTGCCGCTGGCTAATGACAGATGGAAATCTGATTAGGTTCCTTCTGGGTAGCCTCATTAAAATCAGGTATGGATCTGGAGGAGGGGCTGGGGACCCTTTCCCTCTGTGAGTATAGCACTGGCAGCTCCGCGTCAAGGGTGGTCCCTCAAACCATGATCTCTCTTGGAAACTGTCCTTTGGCACCTCCCAGATCCCCAGGCTGGAGGTGAGAGGAGCCTAGTGGCTCTCCCCTGACTTTAGGTCATCTGGATCTACCCTGGGGATCTTCCTTCAGCTCCGACTTGGCTATAGCACCAAGCTCCAAGGGCAAAATTAGTAGGCGTCCTGCCCTTCAAGCCTCCCATCCCCATCTGTTGGATCATAAGCCCTGACTGCAGAACCACATTTCAGCCTCCACACTCCCTCCCATTACCCCTCCCAGAGATACGCGCACTTAGTATAGAGCCAAAAGAAAAGATTCTTAAGGATGAACATCCAGAACCTTGGAAGCCTGACAAAGGGCCTCGGAGTGAAACCCATCTGGGTCTGGATCCTGGCTGTACTGGTTACTGGCTGTGGGATCTTAGCAAATTGCTTAACTCCTCTGAGGCTTAGTTTCTCATCTGTAGGATGCAGCCCAGTGGTCCTCAAATCACCAGCTACTCTATGAATCCTGCTTAGTCTTTCTTCTCCAAACATCTATAGGCCAAGAGCACTGCTCAAAGACAGTGGAGCCCAGCAGAAGCTGAATCTGGTCCCAATGGCTTCCCTACCCACTTTGTGCACCCTTGAAGACAGCTCCTCCCAAGCCTGTGCCAACCCTTGTCCTCAGGACCTGGAGACTTGAGGGGCTTCCCTGAATGCTCTGCTCTGCAATTGCACCAACTGAAGCAAAAATGAGACTCCAACCCAGGCTTCCTGATTCCCTTTCAGCAGCACAGCAGAGAAGAACCTGTTAAAATGCCTTTGCTGGAACTGGTCCCTCCAGCTCCCCTCTAAAAGGCTCAGATGGCGTGTGCCCCCAGTGAGGGGAATGGGGGGCATAAGATGCTGAGAGGGGGCTGTCCCAAGCACCTTGGGCCAAAATAGGGTCAGATAAGGCCCCTTCACAAGCCTGGCCCCACCTCTGGGCATAGCCATCCACGGCCTTTGACTCACTAGTCAGCAAGAACCTCGGGTCCCTGAGGGGAGGAAGGAGTTCCGGGCTTGGCCTGGGCCTCCGCCCTTCCCAAAGGAAGGAAAATGATAGACCCCCAGCTTCCGGCTTCCTCTGGCAGCGGGCCCCCTCCTTCAGCTCCAGCTCAGTTCTCTGCCCCCGGTTTTTGCATTTTTAATTCAGGACAGAATGTGATCTCTTGCAGCTCCTTGCTTTATCCTGTTGCTATTTAAATTACAAATCGGCCCCATCTCCCTGTCACTCTTGGGTTATTTTTAGCTTCTGGTAAATAGCAGCAGGGAGAGTCAGATCAGGTGCCCCTCCCTCAAGGAGCTTTGTACCCACAGTCCCATGCCCACAGCAGGGGGCACCCTCCCCTGCCAGCGGGCACCCCCAGTTGGTTCCCCCAGCCCCCGCTGTGGTGGTGGAGGGGGAAGGGAGAGGACTAGTCCGGGACACGCACATGTGACCAGCCCTTGCCCTTAGTCTTTGTTAAACTCTGCCAGCCCCAGGTCTCACCACCCTTCCATGGCTCAGAGCCAACCTCCTTCCTAGATAACCACCGCCCACCCCCTCCAACCCACAAGGAGGGCCAGCTACAGAGGGCAGAGGATTTTCTGACTTCTGTCTCACCTCTGCTATAAGTCAGGAGCTTTACATCTCTTATCTTCTTCCATCTTCCCAGCTACCCTCTCGTGCAGGTATTACTGTTCCCATTTTCCATGGGGGGAACGGGGTCAGAGGTGAAAGTGACTTACCTAGCCAGGAAGGAACAGAGCTGGAACTCGAACCCAGGTCTCTCTGACCCTGAAGACGTAATGTACGTGCATCGCACTGCCTCTCTCAGTGTAATGCATGTGCTACTTTGCCCAATGCCCACCATCGGCTGTCTTTCCCATGTGCTTATCCAATCCCATATGCTGGATCAGGGGTTGGCAAACTGTGGCCAATGGGCCACATCCAGCCTGCCGCCTGATTTTGTATGGTCCTGAGCTGAGAATGGTCTTTACAACTTTAAATGGTTGGAAAAAAAGCAAAAGAATAATATTTGTGACAGTGGAAATGATATGAAATTTAAAGTTCAGTGTCTATAAATAAAATTTTACTGGAATCCAGTCATGCTCACTGGTTTCCTTATTGTCTACGGCTGGTTTTGTGCTACGATAGCGAAGCAGAGTGACAGGGACTATGTGATCTGCAAAGCTGAAAATATTTACAGCCTGGCCCTGTACTGAATCATACTTTTGTCAAGGGAAGGACCATATCCTACACTTCCATCTCCTACAGTGCCTGGCCCAGGATCAGAGATCCAGGCACAGATGCTGGTCCTCTTTCAAGGTCCTTCTGAGGTCACAATGGCACTCGGTACAGGGAAGCCCCCTGCCAGTCACACCCAATAATCCACCACACATTTTACCCTTTCTCTCTTCCCTCCAGCATCTTCACAGGTGAAGCTAATGGTTTCCAAACCTACTTGACTATCAAAGTTACCTGGGGGAGGTTTTTAAAGTTGAGATGCTCAGGCCCTCCTGATCTCTGTATCAGGATCCCCAGGGATAGGGCTTTAGAAATTATTTCAAAAGAGATCCTCATCAGATCTGGTTTGGGAACCACTGGGCTTAGTTCCAGAGGTCCAGGTTCTGCATCTTCTGCCTGGTCCTTTCAGACCAAACTCAATGTCTCTTGCACCCCTGGCTTCTCCCGGCCGGAGGCTGCCCTCCAATGGTCTCTTGAGCCCAACCCTGGGCAATTAGGACTTCCTTGATTGTATGGGAGTTTTCCTCTTGCCCAGATGCAGACATGAGATGTCCTCCTCTCTCCCTCCCCTGCGAGAGTTTCTACTGGTACAAACCTGCCGTCTCTCCATCCACCTATAGCAGCTGCCAGGGCTTCTTCGAGCCCACACTGGGGCTGGAGGGTGAAGGGAACCCCACATTCCTAAAAGCTTCTACTGTCCTGCTGAAAACCCTCGTCCTCACTTACGTCAGAGGCAGCCAGGACCCAATCCCCCTTCCGCTCCCATCCCTCGCCCTCAGATATTTTTGCCCCCGCATTTCTGTCTAAAAGCCTTTTCTCTCTGAAGGGCTTTCAACTGCTTTTCTTAGCAACTCCTCACAGCAGGGTGGGAGGTTTAGCTGCAAGCCAGAGCTGCATGGAACTGTAGCAGGCGGAGGATGTGGAAAGGGCCACCATGAGCCTGGGCTCTTGCCAGCCCCCAGCGGCCTGTACAATTAAGAGTGGCATCAGTCACCAGGCCGCTAAGGGCTGTAGCCACACGGGAGGGCTGAGTCTTTCCACTGGGGTTCCCTAGGCAGCCCAGGGCTCTGTCTCTTTCCCAGGGCTTCCTCCACCCTCTACCTTGATGCTCTGTCCTGCTCTGGTCCTAAGACTGGGCTCCTGGCCTCACCACAGGGTGTGAGGAGGTGCTTTGCTTAATCTGTCCAGGGGTGACAGCTGGAACCAGTCCTGGTGCTGTCCTCTGCAGGCCTCACAGGGTGACCCGGAAGTCTTCCAATGCCTTCACAGCCAGAGAGGAGCCACAGCTTGGTGACCCTGCATCCTTAGTGACTGGAGGCCTCAAGTTTGGGCAGTGACAGGCCCTCCATTCATGGACCACCCCAGGGGAATCCCAACCCTGGGGGCTGCCTCTGAGTGTATGTGTGTGTGTATGTGCATGTGCACGTGAGCACACCTAGGCAGCATCTTCCATTTCTTGGCTCTTTGGTTAATCCCTGCCCTCATTCCTCTAAGTCTCTGCCCTACTCTGGCTCCCTTTTCAGCTCCAGAAGCTGTTTGTCGCTGATCCACAGCTAAGGAAAATCTTGGGTCACTCTCTAAGGTCACTGGTTGAAGAACTGAGGCCCAGAGAGAGCATGACTGTCTAGCTCAAGGACACACAAGTCATTGACAGAAGTCAGAATACAAGCCAGGTCTCCTGACTCCCAGACTAATATTTCTTCCATTCTATGCCCCATCACGCATCAGTCCCTTTACTCTCTCCTCCCGCAAGGGACATTCAGGGGCTCTTCTCTCTGCAGCTAGGGGACAGATGATGCATTCCTCTCAGCACAGTGTTCTAGAAGGACTCAATAATGGGGCCCAGTGTACTCCTGATTTCTTATAGATTCCAACAGTGAAGGTGGGGCCCACGGGAACCTAACCTCCTGCCCACTTATTCCGAGCATCTCACTTCATGATGGTGGAAAAAATCCTATTACCTGCTCTCTCATCTCCCCCCAGGTGATGGAGGCCTAATGGCCTCATAATCATTAAGGCTACTGGGGCCCTTCAAACTCCAAGGGCTGGGGCAGTTTTATGAAACACCTTCCTAGAAGCCCCAGGAGAAACAGGGCAGCCTCAGACATACCCCATGTCCTTGGGGTTATAAACAGATAGGAAACTTGTCCTCTCCAACCAGGCTGCTGGCTTCAAGGACTGCAGGTGCCTCAATGTCCCTGCTGGACCCTCCAATGACAGGCACTCTGGGCCAGGAGCTCTAGAGGGGCACCAAGTCCAAGTTGAGGCTGTGGTCTGGGAGAGGAAGAAGATGGTAAGGGTTTCCCCTGCCCTGCCTCCAGCCCTGCCTCCAGTCCCTCCGCAGATCCCTCCTCTGTGTAACTTACCCACACTTACTTGAGGGGCAGCCCTCCCCCACCCCACCCCAAATTATAAAAAGTGGAACCTGGGGCCCACTCCAGCTGAGTCCTCCATGGAATCCTCTGGGCACAGGTGGTAGGACCAGGGAGGCTGGGGTTCTTCCACAGGCAGAAGACATTTAAGAAGATTCAGGTGGGGGGAGGAGTATATAGAGTACATGTTTAGCATGCATGAGGTCCCTGGTTCAATCCCCAGTACCTCCTTCACAAATAAATAAACCTAATTACCTACCCCTCCCAATTTTTTTTTTAAAAGGAGATTCAGGTGAGAGTGAGAGGTTGTCTGCCACTGGGATGCCAGTGAGGGTCTGGTTGGGCAGAGGGGTCCAGGAGGGGATTCCTTCCCCATCACTAGGCAGCAGGGTCTCAGCCATGGTGGCAGGGAGCACCATCTCAGTCCTTCCCACAGGCTGGTGCCTAGCACAGGGTCAGCCCACAGGAAAGCTTGAGTATGGCCTATTGAATGAATGGCGGCGGCAGGGGGAGGGGGTCCTCTTTCTCCCCCAGAAGAAGGGCCAGGAACATCTCCTGGCTCTCCCCAGCAGACAGAGGTCTGTAAGGATCATGTCTTGGTTATTTTTCTCCCTTGTGCCCAGTACAGTGCCTGGTATGCAGTTGGCATCAGTAATTCCATGTTGAATGAACAGGGCTTTCACTGTTCATTAGAGAAGGGGTCCCAGAAGTGTGTCCTTTGGACACATAGAGCAGAGACCCCTTGGTGGTCATTTCTGAATCCCTAGGGCCTAGAGCAGTGACAGGCAAGCTGCAGGTGCCCAATGAATGTTGACTGGAAAGGGAGGTGGTGTCAAGCGCTGAGCTTCCCTCTGCCCGCGTTCATCTTACCTGTAAGACACCTGCTTTCGTAGGTGCATCTGGCTGAACCGCTCCTCCACCGGGGGTCCAGCGGCCATGCCCCGGGGTGCCTCAAGCCAAGGCTGCGAGACCCCAGCCTCCTCCCCGCG